ACACCTGAGCCATAAACTTTTTCCTATTAAGTATCCAATTGATTGTCACTTGAAAAAGAAAAAGAATTCTCTCTCTCTCTCTTAATAATGGACATTAATAGATTGACCTATACTTCATGCCTTTTTTTCTTCTTCTATATGAATACAACTAATTATAATTATTATTTGTTGGAATTATATATCATTGACAAAAACGTATCAATATTATAAAGATGGAGAAAAAGGACAATCCTTTAAGAGAATACAAAGATTCATTTTTATTGGCCTTTGTCAATTGCTTTTCCTTTTCTCTACATAAAGCTCTACTACTAATGCAAAATATAATTGATTCCATTTCAACTCCTCTCTCTGACTCGGACCATTTTGTAATCTACAAGTGACGTCATCTACAAGACTAGCTCCAACCTTAGGCCAGAGTAGCCCTTCGTGATGACTTTTAGTCAATAATATTCGATACGCAATGTTTCTAGTGTATCTTGTGAACATGTGCCCGCGTCGATTGCACAAATACTAAGAACTTCTCGATACTGTATAATTTTCTCAAATAATTATTTCTCGACTTGGCAATTGCATTTATTCTCCGTTTTTTATTTTTATTTTTTGCAGACTTTATATACATACTTAAGTTCTCATTCCCAAAATGATTACGCTTTAGTAACGCGCTGCCCTCTACTAATCTCTCCTGCTTGTAGCTTTTGATGTCAACAAAGCCATGTTATTTTCGAATTTCAACTATGTTTTTCAAATGTAAAAGAAAAAAAAAGGCATTTATGAAAGGACAATAATGTAAATATCAAAAATTGAACTTTTGTAAAAGCAATAGGGTAAAGATGGAAAAAAATGCAAAGCAAAAGAGACCTCTTTACCAAAGCCCCCCACAAACATTAGCAACATCATTATTGCAGTGCCAGATATTAATGTCACTTAAGGATAATCATTTCGACATTTGGCGGGAGATGGAAAGTGTATATCCATCCTCTAATACCAATTATCACGGACTGACTCCGAGTCTTGCAATGAAACTATTTTTCGTCCGTCCACCCTTTGCCACGATCAAGACTAGCAAGTGAGTCGATTTTACAATTGTCATGTGCTTGTAGAAGATACGGTAGCTACCGCAACTCTGGTTCTTTAGGTGGAACTCCAAGAATTATTGTTTACCACGTTAGAAAATCGAGTCTAAAACTCGACCTATTAACATGAAAATTTCTTTTAAGGATATATTTTTAGAAAATAGGTCGAATTCTCCTTTTAAGAAAAAATCTTGGTATATGAAGTCTGTATATATGGAAAAGCCTCAAAAATCTTTTAGAATGATGACAAAAATGTTAAAACGACATAAGGATAGATACCTGATTGTCCTATCAAATCACATGAAAATATTTCGCAAAATTACTCTTAACAGATTAAAGACCAGAGAACTCAAAGAAATAATGATATCTTTTAACTCTCTTATCTATTTTACTTAAATCAATTTCCCCTTCTTGAATCACATTTCTGCAATAAAAGCATTTTCTTTACATAACATGTAGCAAAGCAAGTTTGTGAGCCCATTTATGCAGAAAGAAAAACCCGAGTCGAATCTTGTTATGACATGTTCGTTACGTTAAAAAAGAAAGGAAAAAAAAAAGGGACATCTTTCTTAATCCTCATCATTCAAAATTCAGAGGTCCAAGTTGATTATTTTGTACAGAAAATCTTAAGGAATATGAATAAGACTGAATAATCAATCTAGTGTTTATTTGTCACGTCATGAGCCATTGATGAGTAAATTATTTTAACGAACATTCTGTAATATCAAAAGAAGAGACCAAATGTTGCAAGAACAAATTAAAGATAAGGCTGGAAAAAGCATTGATTATCAAAAGCAAAAGGGTACTAGTTTGTGTGTTTAAACGTGTACTACTCTGCAACGTCCAATAATATACATGTTATGCATTTCAAGATTAGAAGCTATGACAAATACTTTAGGATTGTTTATGGGCACAATTGTTACAAAATTAAACGTGCATATCAATATAGACAATGAATTGGATAAGATCTAAACCAAAGAACAACTAGTACATTATCCAGTCCGCCATGTCAAACATGTTCTTATTTACTTTACAAGTCAAGAGTTTACAGTAAAATCTGTCGATGCTTGAAGCTAAAGACAGATTTAATATTTAGATAAGATCGTCGACGTAACATTAGAGCACATAAGGATCAACCCATTTATGAAAATTATGCACGTATCAAACATTTAATGAAAAACTAAACCCGAATCAATCACTGAATAAGCATACCCCATTACATATATATCCAACAACAACATTGATTCCAAAAATCACCAATAGAAAAAGGATAAGATTTCAATATTAATTCTTTAGCTTTATCTTTACTGTTTCTTTTGCTCAACCTACAAACAGTTACTTTAGTTAGCTCTCTTTACCCCAATTTTACGCACACAATAAACATCCAAAAGTCCCCCCTTATCCACACAAATTCATCATCCTCTCTTTCCTTGTCTTCTTCTCTTTATAAATAAATCCAACAAACACAGACAAAATCAAAATTTCACGAGTCTGAAACCAAAACACTGGCAATTTGTAACAGTCTAACATGGAATTATTGTCACAAATTTGGTCTTTTCTAGGCCTCCTCACAGTCCTGCAAAACATCTTGCCCGTACAGCTTCTCTCATTTCTGCATTCTATCTACGAATCCCTTCAAGATTTCTTTAACCCATATTCTTACTTCGAAATCCCAGAATTCAATGGCTATAGTGGGATTGATGTAAATGATCTTTACCTCCATGTGAATCTCTACCTCAACTCCATCAACACCTCCACAACCTGCCGCCGCCTCACTCTCTCCCGCTCCAAATCTTCCAACAGAATTTCATATACAGTTGCACCCAACCACACTGTCCATGACTCCTTCAAAGGCTACCACCTCTCATGGACTCACCATGTCGAGACTGCCCAAGATTCGCTCGATGAAAAACGTAGCTTCACTCTCAAACTTCCCAAGCGCCACCGCATGACTCTTCTTGATCCTTATTTGGAACACGTCACAACACGTGGAGAAGAATTTGAGAGAGTCTCACGCGAGCGCAGGCTCTTTACCAACAATGGACACGGTTCTTTCGAGTCGGGGTGGTCCTCCGTGCCCTTCCGCCACCCTTCCACGTTCGACACACTTGCACTTGAGCCAGAGTTGAAGAAACAGCTAACGGATGATCTAATGGCATTTTCTGAAGGCAAAGAATTTTATAATAAAATTGGACGGGCATGGAAACGTGGATATTTGTTGCATGGACCTCCAGGGTCAGGAAAATCTAGCCTCATTGCTGCCATGGCTAATTTTCTGTGCTATAATGTGTATGATCTTGAGCTTAGTAAAGTCTCACACAATTCTGAGTTAAGGGCTTTGCTCATACAAACTACAAGCCGTTCAATCATAGTGATTGAAGATATAGATTGTTCAATCGATTTAACAGGGGACAGGATAACAAAGAACAGGAGATTACAATCAATGGCTAAGAATAGCCAGCATGGAGGTGACAATGGAGAGGATAACGGGCGGGTGACTTTATCAGGGCTGCTGAATTTCACTGATGGGCTATGGTCATGCTGTGGAGAAGAGAGAGTGATTGTTTTCACTACAAACCACAGGGACACAATCGACCCGGCACTGATTAGATGTGGGCGTATGGACGTGCATGTTGGCCTGGACACGTGCGGCATGCATGCCTTCAAGACCTTGGTAAAGAACTACTTGGAGGTGGACTCACACGTACTGTTTGATGTGGTGGAGAGTTGCA